GTTAGTCGACTAGTCTATGCAACCCCTAGTTGGCAGTTTATATGTGGTATTATTGCGAATATTAGAGCCTCAATTGTTTTGTAAAAAAATAAAATAAAAAAAAAAACAGAAGAAATAGCAAGGTAAATATCATTACTGTATCATGATACTCTAGATATGCAGACTTTAAAAGTGACCTAAACTTTTCCTACCTTGTATTTTTTTTTTAACCACATAGCCTCTTAATTCGAATGCCCTAACATAATACCGTTAAACATGTACTGCTATGTTAAATGTGCTATGCAGCTTTGTGTCTTATCACAAACCTGCAGACATTAATTAGGTCTTTGCTTCACACTAAAATATGGTGGCAAGCTGAAAAACCTAACTGCTTTAGATGTTCCCAAAAACGTTCCAAGATACCAAACATAAAATAAGTGTGAAAAATAAGTTTGATAAGAAAAAATACAGTATATTATTCAAAATATCTATTAAGTTATGAATAATATCCCACTTCTGATGCTGCGGGTGCTTATCGGTTATAGGCTTGAACCTCTGAGTTCAAGTGGAATAGCTGACAGGAGCAAGTATAGAGCTGAAGGTATATCAGTGCTGCTGTCCTCTCCTGCCCCTTCACCAAGCTCGTTAACTCCCAGCTGCCCCAGGGGCACAAAAGAGGACCTTGCACTCTGACCCAGTACTTCAGTATGTGTGAAAAGGGCCATGAGGATATGCAAAGAAGACATTCCTATCTAGCCATAAAATGATCAAATGAACATTCTATTAGGCTACATAATGCTTCCATACACAAACAGTTACACAATTCCTACATCATACACTTAATAAAAAGAACTTGTGTGCTACCAGAGATATAACACTATATATCAATATACGTTCTGAACTTGGGCTTATGTCAGATTTAAGGAACGATTGTCATGACTTTTGCATGCTAATGATCACTAAGTTTATTGACCACCTTAAAAAAAAATCAAGTGCAATATGGATGAAAATTAAAGTGTAGACATGAGTTTATATTTTGTTTACAATGTATTTGCCAATGAAAACCTTTTCACTTGCATGAACATGCAGTGAATATCAACTATAAAACCTTTACATATTAAATCATCATTTAAAAAAATTTCATAAAATTCAAAGGCTATGCAAAGCTTATGTAAATTTAATACCTGGCCTTCAGTTGTTCTAATTTACACACATAATTACTGCTACCAAAGTGACTTTCAGGCTTAGTAAATTACACTATGGGTGCCAATTTAATCCATTTACATAGATGTCGTCCTTTATTTCACATTGCCTCAAATTGCATATACGTTAAGATAAAAATGCAAAACAGAAGACATTATTTTGCTAATGTAAAGATCCTCCATAGACCCAGTAATCCAGATTTTTTAATGTTCTCAAGTCTGCACATTTTTACACACGCAAACTTTCATTAAACCAGAGTCGTAATTTAAACATACAGAAGGGCAACATATGATGTTAAATTCATTCATATGGCAGAAAGTTTATGCAGTGCTGCTAACAAGCAAGGCAGAATCCAAGCATAAATCTGAGCAATCCCAGAGCCTTGCTCAAGGACCCATCTTTGGGTCTCTGGGCTGAGAACTTTTAGATTTCAATTTAAATCCGAAAATCTTAATGCGGTCTCCACTGCTGCGGAGTTTTGTATAAAAAAAAGGTATTATTTATATTAGAAATACCTAATAACGCTAACAATTTTAATTGTTTGGTGCAGTGGTGGTGTTGATATTCCAAGCTGTTCCTACTTCTGCTCGGAGCTTCTGAGATTCTGCACCTTCTGAGTTTCTAAAGTTCTCCTTCTGGTGCTGTGGATGGTTCCACATTGATACCCTAAAGGTTTGCACTTTCTATCCAAGTCTCACCCTTGCTTCAGTGGATAATCTCACCTGTATACTGTAGATTTGTACCTAAGTACTGCTGCTGTAATCATCAAAACTGTCCTATGCTCATCCCAGGACTCTGAACATCATTTCAGCACACCTAGTACTGTTTGTCTTTACTCTTCTACACCTGTAATGATTTATAATCCCATTATTTGGGGGGATAGTGGTATTATAAATCATTACCCCCACTAGGCCACCAAATGAGGATGATTTCCCTTCTGAGTCTGCTTCCTCTTCCTTCTTCTTCATGTCATCTCAGGGAGTTTTTCCTTGCCACTGTTGCTTCTGGATTTAAATCTACAGTACATCAATGTTTCTGTAAAGCTGCTTTTGTGAATGTCCGTTGTTAAAAGTGATAAACATTAAACGCACTATTGAATGAAACTGCCTGGTTTCATTAAGACAGCACTCATGTACAGTTTAAAGCTGAAATAGTCACACACATAGTAAAGAAAAACTTTTAACAGATGACCAGCTGTTTCTCTGTACTGCAGATGTATGTGGCTACAGATTGTGAGGTTATTTTTACAACACTTGGCTCTAAATGGTCAGAACCATGGTCTGAAGGCACAGCAGGAACGCTGACTGCACACACATACATCAATAGTGTGAAATCTTTCCGAAAGTTCTGCCCTGCCCTCTCACCCATTTCTCTTTCAAGTTTTAATAAGATAATTTTTACCACTCCCTTTCCTCTTGACTTTTATTTATTTATTTATTTATTTTTCTCCATCTTCATTTAATCCTTGCCGTTGGGATAAAGGGCTTCGACTCCGTGGAATAAGGATTCAGGAGGAAGAAATGGTGTAGAGGAGGAGTCGTGATCCCTGACCGGAGCAATCTGGCATGCTTTAATGAAGTCCGATCTGCAAGGCCGATGCTGCTGTGTCCCCTCGGACACCCACACGACTATCAAGGGAGGATGATGGAACCATATAGCAAGACATTCACAAGTACGCAATTTCATCTTATATGCTGTTTGTTCAAAAAAGCCTCTGATTTTTATGTCATAAGCAACTCCACCATGCACAAATGTCATAGGAATTCTAAATGGAAGCAAGTTGGAATGAATAAAGTAAGAAAGCTATAAGCATTAACCCCACACCCCACCCTAACCATGTCAAATATGGTAGTGTCATCACTAATAATCTTACAGTGGTTCCCAGGCGATCACATCCATATTGCCTCAGATGGGGCCTGTAAATTAGCTCATTTGTCGGATCAAATGTGTTTGAGTATGGACAACATTTTCAGCGAGGCTTGAATTACTGCATTTACATTTAACTGAGTTTGTCGATTTGTCAATCACATGACATCTATCAATGGGGGAGGGTGAAGGGTGCTTCCTCAGAGACACGTGAAGCCAACCAACTGCATCTTTTCGAACTGCTGCTCCTGTTGCGTCACAGGGCAGCATAACACACTTGGGGGAAAGTGCTATCTACCCCCTTCTGCATACATGACTTCACAAGTGACCATGATTGGCTAGTGTCACTGTGATTGACAGGGAAGCGAGAGTATGCCATCTCTCCTACCCATACAGTACAGCCGATTTTGCTCCCTTGGCTCCCAGACATGGAGGGCTGTGGTATCATTTGGATTTGAACTTGAAAGCTTCTGGTGCTTTTCTGTTGCGCCACTTGGGAGCCCTGAATTTGTTGAATTAATAGAATTATGCCATTGTTTTTGTTAAGTCAGCACTCTCTGCTGTAAAGAAAGTTCCCAAGGTTTAAAGGATAAGCTGACCAAGCACTCATCTACTAGAGTATCTAATCTGCATGGATACTCTAAAGCAGAGGTTCCCAACCCTGGTCCTGAAGTATGTTTTAGTGTTTTTTTTCCTCTGCTCTAATATACTCTCTTCAACTCAGCATGTTAATTAGCTGGGTAGTTGAATCAGGTTTGTCAGAGCAAGGAAAACCCAAAATTGTAAAAGACAGGACCAGGTTTGGAAACCTGTGCACTAGATATTGGTGATCTAGTGTGAAAATGTTGAGCAGTAGGTAATAAGGGCCTAGGTGTCAAATGCAAGGCCCACAGACCAAACACAGCACTCTGCCTTGTTTTATTTGCCACATGCAAACTTACAAAAATAATATTTAAGTATTGTTGTTTGTTAGTTTGCATTGGCCTTTGACAAACTAATTTATCAAATGTGAGGAACATTGCAAACATACAGCTGAGAGTTAAGGGCCTTGCTCAAGGGCCCAGCAGTGGCTCTGCTTGTGTACCTTTTCTTATCATCCAATACAACTACATTCTGTCCCTCAAAGCCCTGCAAATGAAGAGCTTATTGTATATCACACACATGAAACCACTTCATTCTTATAACTGTGGCTCTATTGCTGAGTGCATAGGTTGAAAACAGCTGATTCCATCGATCTCAGCACGCTTTCCATGCCCAAATATTTCATTCCAATTAATTATGTATGTGACCTTTCCTGCTATTTGGACATGATAAAATAAATGAGCTGATAATGCCAAAATAAATGTGAGTCGTATCGGGGCTCCAAGTATAGACAAAAATATCATTAAAGATAAATTAGGTGTTGGTTAAGGAAAGAATTATCTTGGTTTAGAGTGCTTGATAGAGCACTATAGTATTTAATAAGATACCAATGTAAGGAGCAAATCTCCGTGAATCACATTATACGTAGATATACACCTTAACATGGCGCCTTTAGGTAGACTTATGTAAGTTGAAATGAAATGAGAAAAATGGTATTGAGGTTAGCTTACATTTCTGTGAGGATCTCAGACCAGACACGACCACTTTGGGTTTAAATCCAAATCCAGATACTGAGGCAGATATTTGGTGTACTAAAAAGACACATACTGTATTTAGAGGACCAATTAAAATTGTCATGTTTAATACTTGGCTGTATATACTCTGCCATAGAACCTGAGAATATTTAGAGCTAATGCACTAACAACTTTGTTGTTCTTCTTCTTCTTTCAGCGGATCACAGCAGATCACTGGTTCACATATTTGATTTAGCACAGTTTTTAAGGCAGATGCCCTTCCTGACGCAACCCTCCCCAATTTTATCCGGGCTTGGGACCGGCACTGGGAGTGCACCCCCCAGTGGCTGGGGATGGTTCCCTGGCCAGGAATTGAATCTGGGCCATGGCAGTGAAAGTGCCATGACCTAACCACTAGTCCTCCAGGGACCTTGCACTAACAACCTTTGTAATAGGTCTACATTCTACATTTCAGCACTCAAAAGCTGTAGCACTCTGTTTAAGGCTGTCATCTTACAACAAGGTGACTCATCATCCATTGGTGTATTTTGAGGAATTTGGTTGTTTTGTAGTAAAGATGTTTCTCTTCACTTCAAAATCCATCCTGGATTGGCAGCCATCTGAGCTCCTTGTAGTACTACTGAAATGCTGTTTCACAGATATAGTGGGATGCTTTTTAATATAAGCAGTTGTGTTTTTACTATACACTTTCCTCTTTTCCATCAATTTGGTACATTTCATCTTAATTCTAGTTAATCCACAGTGACAGCTGGTCTTGATATTGAATGACAGGGATAAAAAAATACTTTGCCATTACTATTATGAAACCATTAAGGTTGGGCATTACAGCATTGTAGGCATAGGCATAAGACGATTATGCAAACACATGTCTATGGGGCATTTCTCTATATATAAACACTTGACACAGCGTCAACAATAGCCTGCATTACACTACTCTTCTCTACTCTACTCTTAAAAAGTAAAAAAAAAAAATCCACTCCAAGAAATCTGTTAACAGCAAATATGATAATTTGTATTCCAAAAAATGTAACTGTATTCTTTCTTTCATGTACCACTATAGTCTTCTGTTTTTCTTCCCTCGCATGTCCTTAACACACTGTCCCAGTCATGTACCACTATAGTCTTCTGTTTTTCTTACATTTCATGTGTCCTTAGCACTCTGTCCCAGTCATGTACCACTACGTTCTTCTGTGTTTCTTTCAATTCACTGGTCTATAAGGCTTTGTCCCAGTCATACACTACTGTGGTCTTCTGTGGTCTTCTACAGCACATATGTCTAGGACTTTGTCTCAGTCGTATACTTATATGGTCTTATTTAGATTAGTTTTGTAGTTTAATTGCCTAATGACAACTCTGAAGATTTCAATCGGCAATATCCATTTGAAATGTAATACTTTCAGAGGAAATTGTCTTGCTACCATCAACAGACAGAAAATGATAGCTGCTAGTGAGGGAATGACTGTTCATAGCTGCTGTAACTTAAATGATAAAAGGAACTAACATGTTTGACATTCCACAACATAAATATAACTATAAATGGAATAAAATTTAATAGTTGCCTAATTGCTGTGGTATAAGAGGAATTAAACACTTTGGGATGTGTTGTTACAAGAAAATAATCAACTTTGGCATCACAACACACCATTGTATTTTTATTCCTTAATCGATTAGCAGGCCATACCTAGGCACAGCACAGCATAATTACAGTATGTGATTTGCTATATACAGTAATTGTTGTATCATACTTTTAGAAAGCTTGCTCTAATCCTATTACTTCCTGATCTGAAGCCCATCTTTCCATTTTTCTCATCGCTTCTTCCTCCAGCCAAACTCTCTGGCTGAGTAAGAAAGGATTATATGGATTAGTTTAACTTCTGGCGGTACTGAAATTTAAGTGACTTCCAACAACTTCTGTGATTTTAATCAGCCATATCCATCGGAAAAGTAATAATTTCAGAAGAAATTACCTTCCGTGTTTAACCAAGCATAGATCTTCAGTAACCTTCAGTAACAGCAGTTTCAATCAACCTCAATCTAATTTAATAGAAGAACTTGGTAAGGGACTTGGCCGTGTGCTGATTATTGTCTTCCCGTGCTTTTCCATAATTGCTTGACTGTCATGCCTGCTATGGGTTGATATGTGCATCTGGGCTATATGTAAAAATTTGCCTTTCAACACTTTATCCTTTATTCCAAATTAGCCTGTCAAATATATTACAAACAATATTATTGAGCATCTTCTGGTAAAGCAATTCCAGCACAACGAGTACTCGGGTTTCAGTCATAAAATGAACATATCTCATCTATCCAAAAGACTTCCGAAACTTTAAACATCAACCAGCTACAGCTACTTTTACATAAAACTTTCTTTTTTGGTCTTCAGTGATCTACAAAAACTTCCAGTCCAGTTCCAATCACACACCACTGTAGTCTCTCTCCAGTGATTTCGACACATCTACCACATGTTTTGATGTCCCTGAATGATTTTTCTGATTTTGTCAGCTACAAGATGGGCTCTGTTACTGGCATCAACACTCCTTTGGTCCTTATGTTGAGAGATGACAGCAACAGATGCAAATGTCGTATTTTCCTCGCTCGTGCGTGAACTATCAACGCAGGAGCACACAGCTGTGTAAGCATATTCATGACATGGTAAATAGCAGCGGTTTGTGGTTTTAGTGTCAAACACTAGGCTCGCTCACTGCAGGCATCGCTCAGTACTGGCGTTAGTCATGTTGTGACTCACTCATTCCCCTTGACAGCTCTGTGTAATAAATTCATAAAAGAAGCTAACAGCCTGTAATTCAAAATGAGCTTGAAGGCCAGTGTCACAGTGACATGTTATGAACAAAAAGAGCCAAAAAGTCAAAAGACATGCTCAAGCTGTTTGTAGGTTAGAACTGACAACAGCATTAGACATTATTTATTCATTTCCTCTCAGCCAGACTGTTAAGTGTGACCATGACACAGGTTTTTTTTTTTTTTTTAGTATTTTTTTTATAATTATTTATTATTTTTATTTTATTTATAGAACGATCTATTAAGTTCCAGTGAACATAACTATGTGACTTCTGACTTTAAGGGCACATCCTTCAAACTCATCTCTTAAAAAAACAGCCACTGTGCTGTTTTCCAAAATGGAGCTCAAAAAAATGGAATGGTTCTTTAAACTATCCATAATTATGATACTGTAAGTCCTGTAAGTACCACAGCACTGTTGAATTCTCGAATCTGATTGGTCAGAACGTGTTGATTACTTTTCTATATCAGCAGCTCTGACAATAGTGCTGGTTGTAATTCAAATGTAATTCAATGTGCTCATTCTAATATGTTACTGATTCTACAGTAACAGGTCATTCACAGGTACGCCGCACATGATCTAAGACTAGTAAGACATGGATTTTAAAAAAAAAATGCTGTTATTTAACATAGAAAAATCATGAAAGAAGGAGTATCCAGTGTTAGCGCTTTGTAATAGTCAATAAGTCTTCCGCCACAGAAGAGTCTTCAGGACAAAGGACTTTGAACTTCCTGATTTCTTGGTAACATGAAATGCTGCATTTTTTTTATTAACTAGTCTTATTAACTACAATACTATAACAGGAACTAACTTTTTTGCGGATGCTCAACAGCATTTTAAAAAAGTGTAAAAAGTGTCATTCTTTAGTTAATTAAAATTGTAATCTTTGGCAAATGTCTGTGGTATAACATAAATAAAACCTTTTTAGGACATGCTATTATAGGAAAATAATTAATGTTGGAAACACACTGCCCTGTCCTGTTTTATTCCATAATTGATTATCAGGACATACCTAGCTAAAGCACAGCATGTCTACACTTCGGCATAATTCTGTGAGTCTTTTCTTTGTTATATAAAGTAGTTGTTGTATCATACTTTTAGAGGTTTGCTTTAATCCTGTTATTTTCTGATCTGAACCTCATCTTTCCGTTCCTCCTGTAGCTTCTTACTCCATCCAAAGCCCCTGGCTGAGTAAAAATGTGATGTAAAAGCACTCTGGGAGTCTTGTAATTGTCCCACACTTGCTAAGGGTGGAAAAACACATGAGAGGGCCATTACTGCTGCGATGGAGGGGGCGAACTCTGGGCACAATAAGACAGTAATTGGGAGAAAAGTGGTCCGGAGAGTATGAGAGAAAAGTTCGGAGTAAAAGTAAAAGAGGCCTGCTCAGGTCCAGTTCCATCGGTCGCTTCAAATGACTAGAAGATGGTGTTCGCTCCTCTCACACACATAGCATCCCAGTGAGAGCTATCTGCCCCCAATCACAGGTCACTTCAATTACCATCAAAAGGGAGCATAAGGGTGTATAGAAAAGAGAGAGACGTGACTGTGCATCGCCCGCTGCTCGATAATGCCATTAAGAGTCTCATCATCACTCTTTGATCTTAATGAGACATTTTGTTGCGCAGGACAATAATGTGAAGTCCATTTCAGAGCCATTTGGAGAAAACATCAACTCTAGGGTCTGACTAAAAAAGATGAGGAATGTAACAAAACATGCTTTCTCACACAAAAATACACATACTTCTAAATCTGTGAGACCTGTTTCTAATGATACCAAAGACAATTCACAAAAAGCTTATCGTAGTGAATCTGTGCATAGAGAATGCAGCACAAAAGCCTCGTGAATGCCAGCGCAAGAGGCTTTATTAATGAACCAAATAAACACAAGAACAAGGGTACTGCAAGGATAAATGTAACTGAAACAAACAGAAACAAAATTAAACTGCTCACTGAATGGACTGAATATAAATACATGTGAAGAACCAGAACTAAAATTATACATAGAGAACAACCTATGAGATGGACTAGCGCTAGGTTGAGACAAATTTAAATTTAAAGATTGTTATTGCTTTTATAACGTAAGTGACGAAAGGAACTAACTAATTTCATGCAACTCATACCATTGAATAAAGCTATAAATGGATAAAAAGTCCACATCTTAATTTTAATTAATAAAAATTGTAATCATATTCCATTTAATGTAAATAAAACATAATGAAGATAATATTGTAACACTCCATAAACATAAAAAAGACTAGAGCTAACTTTAGGAGTAGATGTAACAGAAACAGAAAAAAGTTGGACTAGGAGTGCAACTAGAGGCCAGGGAGGCACACTAGACAAACCAATAACCTAGGATCTGGGAAAATGGCAGAAATATAAACACATGCAGCAGTGCAAAGCTATGTAAAGGCTAGCGTGAAAAGTCCGGGGTATCTACACAGTCTCTGATTGCAAGGTCAGTGGTGCACAGATGCTACTATTCAAGAAAGCTGGAGCACTGAATGCATGGACAAAAAGGTTCGCCACTGGCTCCGGCACTATTACAGTCTCATACAAGTGGAAAAGAGATTAGACTGGTGCATGTTCACAAAGCCATAAAACTAGCCTCATTGTGTTGGGTTTCCATTAAAATTTTATGTAAAGCCCTATTAGTATGGATGAAGTGATGATGAAGAATGATGGAACAAATAACAATCAAAGTCATTCTATTAAACTATATCCTCTTGGCGGCCATCTTAGCATCTGCTTGAATAGACCCATATAACAGAAAAGGATCAACAAGATGAAGCTATTTGTTCAATTCTGACAAAACAACGTCAATTTTTGGTCTTTGGCTCTAAGAAAACAAAATCCCGTTTTCAGGTTGTCACAATGTCAGATGATACAATGAAGATCCTCTAACGATAGACTGGCGATTAAAGAAAAGTACTACGCTTTGCTTACGTCATCAGTTAGCATTAACTGGGCTCGTGCACACAATGAAAGTCACATAAACAGAAACATTCTTGGAAGTGAACTTGAGGTAATAAGGATATTTTTGTTCATTATCATGTTTGGTTTATGTTTCATCATTGCCTCCATCGTTTTTGTAGCTGCCCCGTGAATTACAAGTCATCCTATGCTGTTCTCCTTTTGGTGGCTTTTGGAAAAGTGTTGTACTGTAGCAGCAGTCACGCCAAGATTTTAATAATACCAGAACTTTGTCATTGGCTGTCTTTGGTTGCAACGACGCTAAATGGGCCACCAGTGAGCATTTCGCTTTACGCATTCTATGACCACCAATATCGATTTATGCCAGAGAAGTATTTCATGATGTGTCTGCGAAAGCAAAAAAAAAACAGCCAGAGTAAATTGCTTTATATCTGTTCATGCATTAACACAAGATAATATTACGTTAAAATAAGCAATTGACTCGTTTTACTGTGAGGCGGGACTTACGTAATACAGCCGCCATGTTGAGTGTTACATCCTGCCCCATTCATATTTTAAGCAGTAACCTGTAGATATTATCTCTGATAACGACTTTCAATAACCACCAGCCAGATGCAGTCTTTTGATCACTCCATCTTGTTGCTTTTCTTTAGAATATTCAGTATAACTGTAACTGTATGACGCAACATTTTCTAAAGCACAGATTGCCATATCTGGTCCTGGAGTACCCCCTGTTCTGCTCCTAATTAGTGAGTTCAGATCATTTACCCAGGTGCACACACCAAGCATACAGCCATGTAATCTCCTCAGACAAGCTTTGGTGGCAGAAGTGGGTCGTACTGATGAGCGCAGTGCCGTTGAACATGGTATCATAGGATGCCACCTCTCCAACACATCAGTTCCTCAGATTTCTGCCCTGCTGTAGCTGCCACGGTCGACTGTAAGTGCTGTTCTTGTGAAGTGGAAATCCGACATCCATTGCAACACTCACTAACGAGTTCCCAACTGCCTCTGGAAATGTTAACACAAGCCAAAGACCACCATGCACAATGCCAAGAGTGGAGTGGAGTGCTCTAAAGCAGCACACATAGCAGCACAGGCGGAATCAATTATTAATGCCAATGGTTCTGGAATGAGATGTTCAACAAGCATGAATAGATGCTAACATCATTCAAGGCTGGTCGTCTTCAAACTGGAGAAGGCTGTATATGTGATTAGGATGGAAGTCATGCTTTGGCAGTCTATGAATTTAGGTTTCATGCCAAAAAAAAAAAAATCCTTCTAGACTGTTCTCTCAGAAGGCGGTGACACCTTCAGAAAAACGATTTGAGAAACGCAGCTGAAGTGGCCATTTCATAGATAGTTTTTTTTATTATTATTATTATTATAGGTTCAGAACAAATCTAGAGCTGGAAACAATTTCCCCAGACATCAACCTCCTATTTCATCCATATTAGAGCAAGGATGTCTTCGATTGATAGTTCTATAGCACCTGGAATCAGACAACATACAAGCACTCTCTCCATCTTTATTTCTGGTTTTCCTTATCTCTTTCCTTTGCACTTTGTTGATTTTCTTTTTTGTAATTCTATATCTCTCCCACACAAACTCACACACATACACACACACATAGACAGACACACGCTCTGAAAGTTTCTGAAAGTCGGAAAATGTAAACGTAACACTTTGAGACTTCTGCTGTCCTGGCTCTTTTTGCCTCCACTGCCTCTGATTTGCACATTCACACACTATTAAGTGAGTAATTATTCCCAATGTGACACTGTAGACAGGAGTATTAAATTGAATTCTCACTTTCTGGCATGAATCACGTAAGCGCTTTGCAAAACCAGGACTCCCTGCCTGCAACCATGAGAACATCCTCGTTTGTAACCACTGCTATTAGCTGGAACGTGGTAGTAACACATAGATAGTATCCCACAATGCAATACTATCTATGTGTTAAAAAATGATTGGTTGTCTGGGCATCACAATACTTAGAGATATATTCAGAATGCACAACTGATAATGTGGCAAATTCAAACCAATTTAAATCATTCCTCTGACCAATTCTATGCCGTGTGTGGTCTGATGTTTTTTCAATTCCCCACTCACAACTGTAATTAGTTCCCATTTACTCTCTGACATGCAAAAATGGAAGAAAAGCTTCGTGTCATATAAGCTTACATAATCTCGCATTAAATGTGTACAGAGACATTATGAAGAAAAATAAAGTTTAGAAGGAAGTAACAGAAATCATTGGTGCCTCTGGTGAGTGAACACAGCCACTACAGT